AGATGCAGTTGCAGTTCCTGCTGACTAGGCGCCGACCGGACAGCTCTGAGCCACAGTGGAGGCTGGCCCTGATGAAAAAGACATTTTTAAGCAAAAAACAATTTTGATCAGAACTTTAGCAAGTGAAAACCAGCCATGTGGGCAGATGTTCCTTCTGCAGGTCTAAAAAGCTGGCTGTGCCCCAGCGGGTACCGTGGGTGGGCAAGTGCCTCATGCAGCTGCCCAGGTGGATGGAAATTGGCTGTGCCCTCCCACACTCTCCCTGGTGTCTGGGTGGCTGACACACATCCCAGTCTCCTGCCGCCTCTGAGTCCCGTCCCTTCAGCGGCTGATAGGTAGGCATCGGATGCAAACAAGGCAGGAGATGGAAGTCCCTGGAGACCCAGCTCCAGTTCAGTTGTGTGCTGGGGTGAGCAGAGAGGCAGAGGAAGGTGGGGAGTGCACGTCCCAGCCCACTTGCATTCAGTCCCCAGAAGCAGCGTTTAATCTGGCATTTCGATATTCAGTTTGGGAGGCGGGAGGACATACTTTCCGGGGCTCTGAGTAATAACCACTCTGGTTTTCTTTCGAAAAATAGGAGCGATTTTGGGAGGCTCGGGAACTGGGGTTTCTTCGGTTTCTTCAGTGTCTTCGTGATGGAGATCATACGAAATGTTTCCATATTCTCTCAAAAACGGGAAGATTTCAAGCAGAAACTGGCAGAAATCTTTGCGAATACCAAACCACCCTGAAAAATAAGAATTTTTTTTTTTTTTCAAACACGAGACTCAACTCACTTTTCTGGGAACCAACTTTCCTGAATGAGAAGCTGTACTCGTACAATGGAACCTTTATCCAGAGTCCTCAGAAATGAAGATGGGGCAGGGCCTGATTAGCCCAGAAGGGAAGGAGCCAGATCGCCAGCTCCACGGATCTCTAAGCTGGGATTCCAGCCAGCAGCGACAGCCTCCTGGGGACCTGTGAGAGCTGTGGTTCTCGGGCCCCAGCCCGCGCCTCCTGAGTCAGAAACGGTGGGCTGGGTGGGCTGGGGCAAGGAGGGATGCTGGCTTTGGACCTCCAGCGATCCTGAAGTGCTACCGCACACCCTGCCCCAGGAGGTCTCAGGCTTCCTTTGCCTACTGTCCCCACCCACACTCGCCCTTCGAAGGAGTGCCCCCCCACATGCATGCACACACACACATGCACACGTACACACACATGCCACACAGTCTCGCACTCACAGAAACTCTCACACACACTAGTACACACACACCCTTTCTTCTCTCTCTCACACACACTCACACACTCACATCTCTCTCTGACACACACACACACTCACAGTCTCACACACACCCACTCTCATCTCTCTCTCTCTCTCTGACACACACACAAACATACACACACTCACACACGGAGGTCAAGGGCTTCTGAAATACTGAGTACATACAGTGGTTTCCTCCCTTCTGTCCAAATGTTGTGGCCATCAGAGTGATCAGTGAGAGCCACAGGGGGACGAATATTGGTATACAGGAAAATGCGTTGTGGCCGTCCAGTTTGTGAACCAGCAGGATCTACAGAGAGAGACACAGTGAAGATCCTGTGAACCCAACACCCAAAAGTGGACAAAGTCTGAAGGGAGACCCCATGAGGCAGCCCCTCCATATCAGGTCTCAGGAGACAGAAAGTCAGCTCCGCACGAGATGTCAGAAAACCACCATCCCCAGCTGAAAGAACAAGATGTGCTTCCACACCCCTCCTCGGGACTAAGCCAACCTCCAGATACTCCCCAAGTGCCCAGCACCAGGACTGGGAAACTCGTCCTCACGCTTCTTCTGAGGGGTCAATAGCACCCCTTCCAGAATTCGCCCAAAACTCAACTCCAAAAATGGGGCCCCCCCAGCCTCTCTTTGAAAGAGTAGAAACCCCATAGATGCAATTGCCTAATGGCTAGAAAAGGACACTTGTACCTGCCAGCCTGACCCCCTCCAAGAAAAAGAAAGGATGTGGTCATCAACGCCACTGTCGCTAGCAGGCCTTGTGTCCTGCAGTGGGCGTGGAGATCTCAAGCCTAGCAGGCTGTCCATCTAGGGATGCAGGCTGCTGCCAGGGTGGGGGCAGTCTGGTGGCTGACAAGCTTTCCCGTAGAAAGCTCACCTCAAAAGTAAGAAGAGGCACGACAATGGTCATCCAGCTCAGCGCCATCGTGATGTGCGTCCTTCGCTGTTCCGCAATCACGTCCATCGAGCGCAAGAACAAGACGGACCACACAATGTAGTAGAGCACCACGAGGCAGAGGAAGGACATGAGAATCCACAGGGGGACACACACCACCTGAGGGGAGGAGGAGAGGAGGATCTGTCTACACCTTCTGCACCGGCCTCTGACAGGAGGCACCGTCGTCACCTTGCTCTCCAGTTCAGGCAGCACGAGCTGGCACGAGGACAGTCCCACCTCCCAGGACTGCGGTGGGGACAGCATGGGAAGGAAAACGTGGAGCGTGTGTACGACAGGGCCCACCTCCCAGGAAACGTTGTCATCAGTGCCTGTTCCTTCAGGTGACAGCCTCGCATCTGGCCCCGCATCCTCTTCTCTTCCTGACAGCCTCCCTCCTTCCCTCCAGCTCCGTCTGCCTCTGGTGGCTTCACATCGGCCCGAGGAAACGGGCCTCTGCTGTCACCCTGCGCACATACGCATGATCTCACCCCGACATACTTTCTCCGCAGACAACAATTCCCAAACCTGCTGGAGGTGCTTTGACAACACATTTGCCATCATGTTCCCTAGAAACTGCGGCTGCCTGGGCTCCTACAGACCCCCATGTCCACCCCTACCGAGTTAGTGAGCTGGGCAGATTGATGCTGGGGACGTAACACCACCCGTCCCTGCCACCACGCCAAGGCACGTACTGAGTGTGTTGCTGCTGTACCTGAAAGACCTCGTCTCACCCACACTCAGGCCTGCTAGATGTGCCCTGGGGACGTCACCTGCCCAGGCTCCCTTGCGTCATTTTTCTCCTGCCTGCCCTGCCCCCTGGAACCACTTCTCAGTTATCCCTGTTTCTTTTATTATTTGTCACATAGTAAAATGGCTGTATGCTTTTGGTGTACAGTTCTGTGAGTTTTAACACACATCGCCACAGGATGGACATAGCACAGTTCTATCACTCTATAAAACTTCCTTGTGCTGTCCCTTCATTGTCACAGCGTCACCCCACCAAAACCCCTGGCAACCACTGATCTGTCCTCTAATGCTATACTTTTGTCTTTGTTAGAATGTTGTGCAGACGGAATCACACCGTATGTAAACTTTGACTCAAGTTGTCCCCTGTGTCCACGTGTTGTCCCTGTCATAGCTGAGTGGTATTCCATTACAAGATGACTACAGCTTGATCATGCAACAATCCAGTGATGGTGGTTCCAGGTCTCGGCTACCACAAATAAGTCTTCCATAAGCAGTTGCACGTGGGCTTTTTGTGGCTGTGCATTTTCATTTCCCTAGAGTAAGCACCCAGGCCTGGGACTGCTGGGTCACATGGTCAGTTCGTGTTTAGCTGTATAAGAAAGTGCCACATTGCTTTACAGAGCGACAATATAATTCTGTCTTCTGACCAGAACTGCAGGAGTGTCCCTGTTCCTCTGCATCCTCCCCAACACGTGGGACTGTCAGTGATTTTAGTTTTGTCTTTCTGACAAATGGGCTGCGGGACCTCGTGATAGGTGGAGTTTGCCTTTCCCTCGGGTAAACTTTTCATGTGCTCATTTGCCACGTGTACATTGTCTTTGTGAACTGTCTGTCAAGTCTTGCCAGTTTTTAAATTAGCTGTTTGCTTTCTTAGTTTTGAGTTTTTAAGAGTTCTTTGTATGTTTTGGATACAAGTCAATGCTTTTTTAAAAAAATTGGTTATGAATATTCATAAGACACAAAGCTGATTGTCACCCCTAGAACACAAGATGTGAAGGCCAGATTCATGCTGGCACCATACTCACTACCACAAATTGCATTTGTACCCCATGTTCCCCACCTAATTATCCCCATCCTCCCTTCCCCTTCTCCTATCCCTCCCAACACACTGTGTAGCCCAAAGAATGTTCTCTCCCTCTGCAAGTCCAATGCACCACTGTGGTCTTTCTTTCCTTCCTTCTTTCTCTCTTAGCTCCCATATAGGAGTAAGCACATGCAGTATTTATCTGTCTGGGCTTGGCTTATTTCCTTGAGCATAAGTTTCCCCAGGCTCACCCATGTTGTTGCAAATGGGAGAATTTCATTCTTTTTTATGCCTGAGTATTATTCCACGGCATATATGAACCATTTTCCTTATCCAATCATCCATAGATGAACATTTAGGTGGGTTTCATGTTTACAGTATTGTAAACAAAGCTGAGACGAACATGCGAGTGCAGGTATCCCTTCAAAATGATGATTTCCATTCCTTTGGGTATATACCAAGAAGTGGGATTGCTGGATCGTATGAAAGACCAATCTGTAGTTGTTTGAGAAACTTCCATACCGTTTTCCATAGTGGTCATATTAATTTCCAGTCTCTCCAACAGTGTAGGAGCATTCCCTTCTCTCCACACCATTGCCAGCATTTGTTATTCACCATCTTTTTGATTATAGTCAGTTTAACTGCGGTGAAGTGGTATCTCAATGAAGTTTTAATTTGCATTTCCCTGATGACTAGTGCTGTTAAGCATTTTTTCATGTACCTGTTGGCCATTTGTATGTCTTCATTTGAAAAATGTCTATTGAGCTCCTTTGCCCATTTTTAATTGGTTTAGTTGCTTTGTTACTGTATAATTGCTTGAGTTCTTTGTATAGTATGGATATTAACCCCTTGTCAGATGCATAATTAGCAAAAATTACCTCCCACTGTGTAGGTTGTCATTTCATTCTGTTGATTGTTTCCTTTTATGTGCAGAAGCTTTTTAGTTTGATATAGTCCTATTTGTTTATTTTTTCTTTTGCTGCTTGTGTTTTCAGGCTCGTGTTCATAAAGTCTGTGCCCAGACCTAGTTGCTGAAGTGTTTCACGTATATTTTACCTTAGTAATTTTACAGTATCGTGTCTATAAGTCTTTAATCCAGTTTCTACAACAAGAACTACAAACCACTTATGAAAGTAATTAAAGAAGATACAAAAAGATGGAAAAAAGATATTCCATGCTCTTGGATTTGAAGAATTAACATTGTGAAAATGTCTGTGCTACCCAAAGTGAGCTACAGATTCAGTGCAATCCCCATCAAATAACAATGACATTCTTCACAGACATGGAAAAAAGCAATCTTACATTTCATATGGAACAACAAAAGACCCCAAATAGCCAAAGTAGTCCTGAGTATAAAAAATAAAGCCAGAGGCATAAAACTACCTGACTTTGAATTATACTACAAAGATATTGTAACCAGAACAGCATGGTACTGGTATAAAAATAGAAATTCAAACTAGTGGAGCAGAATTGAGAACCCAGTAATCACCCCTCAGGCTTACAGACATCAGATATTGGACATAGGCATAAAAAATCTACACAGGGGAAAAAAACTGCCTCTTCAACAAGTCGTGCTGGGAAAACTGGTTCTCCATATGCAGAAGAATGCAAACAGATATGTACCTCTCACCATACACTAACATGAATTCAAGTCAATGTTTTCATGCGTGCTTTGCAAATATTTTCCCCTGATCTGTGGCCTGTCTTTTCATTCATTTTAATTCTGAGCAAGTGCAAACTTCTGATTTCTTTCTTTTATGAACCATAGAATTGGTGCCACTTTTTGGACCATCTTTTTATTGAAACATAATTGACTATACATGTGTGTGAGGTACAGATTTGAACATGATTACCTGTGTACAGTATGTGGTGATCAAATCCGGGTAATTAGTATTCTCACATTTACAAAACGTAACCAGTCTTTGTGACCCTTAGCCAATTTCTTGCTGTTACTCTCCCATCCCCCTCTCCCACCACTAATAACCACAGTTCTGTTCTTTTTTGAAAGTTCAACATATTACTGTTATTGTTGTTTCTATCTTTTCTTTCTTCTTTTTATTTTTTAGCTCCCACTTATGAGTGAGGACTTCTGATATTTCTCTTTCTGAGCCTGGTTTATTTCACATAACATAATTTTCTCTTCGTTAATCCATGTTGCTGTGAATGGCAGAATTCCATCCCTTTTTATGGCCAAGTAGTATTACGTTTAGTGTATATACCACATTTTCCTTATCCAATCATCTGTCAATGGACATCTAGGTTGGTTCCAACTCTAGGTTACTGTAAATAGAGCTGTGTTAAACATGAGAGTGCAGGTATCCCTTTGACATGACGGTTTCCATTCCTTTGGGTGTATATGCAGCAAGGCGATTGCTGGATCGTATGGCAGTTCAATCTGTAGTTGTTTGAGGAACCTCCTAAATATTTTCCATAATGTATGCACTAATTTACAGGTGCCATTTCTATGAACTCTTCATGCAATTGCATGACCCAAAGATTTTTCCTATGTTTTCTTCTAAGAGTCCTATAGTTTTATATTTTACTTTTAGATCTACGATTTGAGTTGTACGTGACATTTTAATCCTCCTGATTCATTTGGAGTTCTTGTTTGCAGGTTTTGCTCAAGAGTCTCTTCTGCATAGCCTGTCTTCCCCCTTCCAATGCACATCTGTGATGATGCACTCATTTCATGGAGTTTCCTTCCTGGGTGGAATGGCAGTGATTTTAACAGTTTTACTTGCTCTTTCTCCTACTCATTAAGGAAAATGTGCAGTCAGACTGCTTCATCCACCGAGAGCTGCACAGCACTGAGGGTGGAAAAATCCCTCTGCTCACTTGCAGAAAACTATGAAAATTCCTAATCTTTCTCTTTTTTTGCTGATTGTACCTTATACTAAAAGTTTGGTCTTATGTGGATTTCTTTCGTCCATGTCACAATAGAAAGTTTTGAACCCAATTATCATTCTCCAGATTCAGCACCTTGAAGATGTAGGATAGGTGCCTGAAGAATATTTCTGATTATGAAAGTTTCATCCAAGCCTTTAGGCAGAAGTGATAAATCTTCTCTTTACTTTAATATTAGAGTCTACTTATGTTCCCTTATTTTCTTCCCTGCCTTCAATTGAATATTTTCATTTTACTATATTTATTACTTTCATTTCTTTTTAAAGTAAACTGTGTTTAACACTCAAAATGTCATGTGTGTAACTAATAACAGAAACAAAAACACTGGCATGACCTCACCTCCCACAGGCAATGTAACTTTTCTGCCTTGTTCTCAGTTTTCTTTCTATGCATTTAACAGCTGAAACCATCCTATATTCTCTAATCTTTAGCTTGCCA